CTGGGAAGCACAAATATTTAAGGGACAGGCAGAGGAAACGGAGACTGAAAAAGTATAGGTAGGGAATCAAGAGAAAACAGTATCATGGAAATCAGGAGAGGAGAAAGGAAGTATAATGGTTGGCAGTGTCATATGCTATAGAAAGGTCACCTGGGATGGAGGCTGAGATGAATCCACTGTCTTGGTTATGGGGATGCCACTGGTGACCAATTTCTTTTGTAGGGGAATGCAATCATATTGTACTGGGTTGTGAAGTATAGCCAGAATGTCTGTGAATACACTGTTGACTTCTCTTTTTAAGAGTTTAATAGGGAAGAAAAACAGGAGGAGAGATTTTTTTGGATTAGAAAGAATCGGGCATGTTGCTAAGAGAGAAGAAAGAATCAATCTATACATGGGGAACTGGATGGAGCAAGGGAAAGGGGATAATTGATGGCCTAAAGTCACAGAGCATGGGTACAGAAGCAATTGGCCTTGGAGAGGGCAAGAGAAACCTCTTCATCTGAATATAGAGAAAAAGGTGCTTGAAAAGAAGGTTTGAGGCCTTGGGGTCAGAGTTTGAGGAATTCATTTGATGGACTCAAATACCTTAGTAGTAGAAGAGGCCAGTTCCTCTGATGGGATTGAGAAGTAGAAGTGAATAAGGAAGGGAAGTGACTTGATTTGTGAGACAGAGGTTGGGGAGCAATTCTATGGAGAATGTGGAGTTAAGTAAAAGGAATGCCAAGCAACTTTGAGAATTCAGTTGAAATTCAGAGCTCTTTAAGTTGCATTTGTGCTATTTATGTTACTATCAATATTGGTGAGTAATAATAGCTATTGACTGAGCTCCTAGTACAGGGGAGTTCTTATGTGTCAAAACAACTTCATGGTATAAGGGAGGTGCTATCATTATCCCCATTTTGTAGGGACCAAACTGAGACATAGAGGTCAATAACAGAGAGGTAAGACCACACAGCAGCTAAGTGGCAGAAGCAGGTTTGAACCTGGGCCTTCTGACTGCAGAATACAGTACCCACCTTCCCTCTATACTCTGCCTAAGGAAAGCTGGCCTGATGAGAAGCTGGGGATAGGCAGGGTGAGTGTGATGGATGAAGGGGCAAGAGAACTGAGGGTGCCGATGTGTGTTCTGAAGGTAACTGAGTTCAGGTAGGTAGGAAAGGAAGTGAATCAAAGGCTAGTAGTGAGGGATTTGGGAGTGGAGGTCAAAAAAGAGATTTAGATGGAATTGGGTAAAGAGAAATCTGGGGTACTACGAGTTGTGCTTAGAAGGGGATGGGTTATTTGAGGTATAGCATTTCTGATTAAACCCAAGGCCACCATGTAGTCAAAGAAAGGAATGGCTGAGGGTCAGAGGGGAAATCTTTGGAGTAGAGAAGTCTGGAGGATAGGAGATCTGGATAGAGCAAAAGATGTTGACTTTACTTCTTTAGTGACATTTTTCCTATTTGTGATATTATTTTATTAATTTGAGCATTGCTCTCTAAATAGTTTGTTTTTAACTGCGTTGAATAATTTAGCCCTTCTCTTTTCACCCTACATATACTTATAAATTGTAATACCCCTCTTATCCTACAAATTATTTCTGTTTGATATTTTAATATCTCAGTAAAATATTTTAAGGTGTTTTTAACAGTTAATTTTTAGTTTCTGAAGTTGAGCAGTTTCTAGCTTAGTCATGACTAATTCTGTCAAATTGAATGTTAAGATACATGGATACATTTTACTACATTTACAACTTAACCTCTAAAATATAATGAGGTAACTTTAGGCAAGATAGTTTTCTTTAAGGAGGAAAAAGTAGAATACAGCAAATACTAAATTTTTTAAAAATAAGCTTTTTACTTAAGAGTAATTTTAGACTTGTAGAAAAGTTTCAAGGATGATTCAAAGGGTTCCCATATACCCCACACTCAGATTCTATTGTTAATATTTACATTTGTATGGTACATTTGTCATAATTAATGACCAAATATTGATACATTATTATTAACTAAAGGCCATAGTATTTTCAGATTTCCTTAGTTTTTACCTAATGGCCTTTTTCTGCTCCAGGATCCCATCCGGGATACTACATTGGATTTAGTTGTCACGTCTCAGACTCCTGGTTGTGATAGTTTCTCAGACTTTCGTTGTTTTTGATGACCTTGTCAGTTTTGAGGAGTCCTGGTCAGCTGTTTTGTAGAATATTTCTCAGTTTGGGTTTGTCTGATGTTTTTCTCATGATTAGACTGAGGTTATGGGGTTTTTGGAGGAAGACCACAGAAGTAAAGTGCCATTCTCATCACATTATATCAGGACTACATGCATAAACATGGATTATCACTGTTGTTTTTTACCTTGTTCACCTGGCTGAGGTAGGGTTTGTAAGAGTTCTCAGTTTTAAAGTTAACTGTTTCCACCTCACCTGCCTTCTATACTGAACTCTGTAACGAAGTCCCCCCTTGAAGAGTGGGGAGCTATGCTTCACCTCTTTGAGGGTGCAATATCTACATAACTTATTTGCAATTATTCTGTACAGGATATTTACCTTTTCTCCCCTATTCATTCACTCATTCATTCATTTATATTACCATGGCTTCATGGATATTTATTTTATACTTTGAGTTTGAATCCAATACTACATTACTTATTTTGTTCAAATTGTTACAACTTTTGCCATTGGGAGCTCTTTCAGTTGTCTTCTGTGTCCCTTTGACATAACTTCATCATCTTTTTTGGAGCACTTCTTTATTTTCTGACACTAAAAAAATACTCTAGATTTATATTGTGTATTCTCTGTCCCAGTGCTAGAATCAGCCATTTCTCAAGGAGTCTTGTTTTCTTTTATTGGACAATGGTATTAGAAACCAAAATATGGGCCCTGGGTGTGCTCATTGCTACTGGGGCATCATTGTTTCTATGCCCTCCCAGCTGACAACTTGGAAATGTACTAACCTGTGTATACACACATACCTATAACTATTTCTATATATGTCCATCTGCATATATGTATTAAACTAAGCATGAGTTTATACTGAAGTTTCCAGCTCTAATCCAGTATCATATGGATCAAACTAGTCTTTTGCACTCAATTATCTGTAACCTTCCACTCCCACAATGAGAAATCTGGTTCCCACTTCACCATCAGACAAATTTACTTATTTGTTAAATACCAGTATACATGTGTAATGGTTTCAGAATTGTTAACCTCTTCCCCCATGAGATAACAATTTTACCAGCTAGAGCAAAGTGCCTATGTACAGTTTCTTTTGTCTTTAGTCTTACAGTCTTAATTCATTTTCAAAGTTACTTAGGTCACCTATTTTTACCCCACTCCCTCCAGTGAGGTTATGTCATGTGTTTGGAATGCAGTTAGATTCTTTTGTCACAGGCTACATTCTGCCTGGCATGCCCCAACCTCCTATTGATTTTTTTAAAATTTGCATACACTCTTCATCTGTTCTGTGGGTTTTGACAAATGCATAATGTCATATATCCCCCACTACAGTATCATACAAAATTGTTTCACTACCCTAAAATATTGCCTGTGTTTCACCTATTCTACCCTCTCCTGCTCTCCCTGAACCTCTGGCAGCCACTGATCTGTTTTTTTGTCTTTATAGTTTTGCTTTTTCCAGAATGTCATATAAATGGAATCATACAGTAGGTAGCATTTTTCAGATTGGCTTCTTTGATTTATCAATATGCATTTAAGATTCACCCATGGTGTTATATGAATTGATAGTTTGTTCTTTTTTATCACTGAATAGTATTTTATTGTATGTACATACCACAATTTGCTTATCCATTCACGTACTACATTGTGAATAAGATTATGAAGCAACCTATAACATTTTGGTTGCTTCCAGTTTTGGGCAATTATGAATATGGCTGGTGTAAACCCTTGCATGCAAGTTTTTGTGTGGACATATATTTTTAAATCAATTGAAAAAATACCTAGAAGTGTGATTGTTGGATTGTGTGCTATGAATATGTTTAGCATTATAACTGCACTGCTGTCTTTTGAAGTGGCTTTACCATTTTGCATTCCCACCAACAATGAATGAGTGTTCCTATTGTTCCACACCTTTGCCAGCAATTGGTATTGTCAGATTTTCGGATTGTAGTCATTCTAATAGATATGTAGAAGCATGTCATTGTTTTAATTTACATTTTTCTAATGACAGATGATTTTTAATATCCTTTTGTACGCTTCTTTTCCTTTTGTTTATCTTCTCTGATGAGGTGTTTAAGATCTTTTGCCCATGTTTTAATTAGGTTGTTTCTTTATTGCTGAACCTTAAGAGTTCTTTATATATTTTGGATATAAGTAATTTATCATATATGTATTCAGTAAACAATCTCTCCCAGTGTTTGGATGTCTTTTCATTTTCTTTTGACAGTGCCTTTCACAGAGCAAGTTTTTAATTTTAGCGAAGTCCAACTTATATTTTCTTCTATGGATCGTGCTTTTGGTATTATATCTAAAATACTATCATCAAACCCAAGATCATGCAGATTTTTTCCTGCTTTTTTTCTAGAAGTTTTACAGTTTTGCATTTTACTTTTAAGTGTGTGGTCCATTTCAAGGTAATTTTTGTGTAAGATGTGAGGTCTCTGCCTAGGTTTATTTTTCTGCATATGGATGTCTAATTGTTCCGGCACTGTTTGTTAAAAAGAGTGTTTTTTCTCCACTGAATTATCTTTACACCATTATCAAAAGTAAGTTGAGTATATTTGTGTGGGTCTGTCTATGGGCTCTCTGTTCTGTTCCATTGGTCTGTCTGTCTGTTCTTTTACCAATGCCGTGCTGTCTTGATTATTGTAGCTTTATAGTGGGTCTTGAAAGTGAATCTATCAGCTTTATTCTTTTTCAGTATTATGTTGACCATTCTAGGCCCTTTGTCTTGCCATATAAATCTTAGGGGGGTGTTCTGAATTTTAAAAATGAAAAACTAGAAATTGTTAATCCTCAGAGATGCAGAATAAATGTGATGTTTCTTTAATTTTTTTCCCAGGTGGTTCTTTGAGGCTCTGAAGTATCCTAAGTTTTCCAAGGCTAATGTCATCAATGGAATACTCATGACTGTGGTGTTCTTCATAGTGCGGATTGCCTCAATACCTCCTTTTTATGGCTACATTTACTCTGTGTTAGGAACGGAAGCCTACCTGAGGCTTGGATTTTTAATTCAGTGTTCCTGGATCTCTACTTGTGTTGTTTTGGATGTAATGAATGTCATGTGGATGATCAAAATTTCAAAGGGGTGCATCAAAGTCATCTCTCTCATAAGACAAGAGAAAGCCAAAAAGAGTCTTCAGAATGGAAAACTTGACTAAAAGTGGGCTATTGATAAGCATACTTCATGATTACCCACATTATATCTTCTGATAGGTTGAATTCTTGGCATGTTCTTGTGCTTCTTTATTAATTATACTTGTTATTCTCGGTTTCAATGTCCTTTTTTTCCTAACCGTTAGAAAAGAGAAACTAAAATTTAGTTTTTATCTGAAGATTTATTTTCTGATATTCTTCGGCATTATAAGCATGGATAAAATCTTAAAGGGTTAAATAAAAATGTATAAATATGGTGGTGAATCTTTTTAGAAACCTGTTAACCAGCATTGGTATTTTTCTCTGTGAAAACATGACTATGCTAATTTGGTGCACTTGGTTTTATGTCACCGATTTTGCTGAAAGAATGGGAACTGCTTTTAAATCTGTAGATAGCTCTCCACATTTTGTTGTACTGCACTCACTTCTTACTATGGCTGTCAATACCTGTGTAGTGTTTAATTTCCAAATTGTTGAAATGTTCTTTTTCTTAGGCTATTAGAAGTGATGTCTTTTTCATTTAGATATGCTGTCATCTACTAATAATGAAGTATTTTGCTTATTTTGGGAATCTTAAGTTATGGAAAATGTTTCTTGCATTTTCAGATTTTTCTGACAACACTTTATTATTTCTATTTTTAACACTTTATCAAATTATTGCTTTTTTCTTTTGTAGTAAAGCTTAAGACCGATCTAATAGAGCTCCTTAAGAGATGAATTCTTCCTTCTAAACATGCATGTTCTAGATGACTATTTGGGCTAATAGGAGGCATCATTAAGAAAAAAGCTTTAACACTGCTGTCTCTATCTGCATCCCTTGCACTTTTTCTATGAAAAATATATTATTTCTATTTGCAAAACGTCCCCTGAGTTCAGAACCCAACATCATTAGCACCAAAATCGTATGTAATATGTATTTATCATGCTCCTAAGGTAGACCTCTTCTTGATGAGACCAAAACTACAAAAAAAAATCAGTATTCATATTTTACTCACAATTTACACCCATGCTTTTGCTTAACCAGCACTTTGAGTGCTTTGAATTTGTGTCTTTCCTAAAGGATAGGAAAACAATAGATAATTTAATCCAAGCATTCTGATTATCAATATTATTGCTTTATTTGAGGATAAATGACTGGTGACTTATTTTTTCTGTTTGTGTGTGTGTGGGTATGTTTGTGTTTGCTTTAACCCAAATATAGAATTATATAGTTAGCTATTATTGCCTTTATTTATTTTTCTCAAGTACTTTAATGATCATTCTTACCTAAGGAAAAAAATTAATCAGCGGTAAATACTTGAATTTAGTTGAACCCAACCAGAAGATCTAATTCATTCAGTTTCTCAGTTTGAAGGAGAATGTGTGACTTACTCTTATTGTCCATGTTATGATGATGAAGGGAGGCGAGCTGGATATTTCAGGACTTTTGATTTGATGTGATTTGATTGATTTGGCTGTCCCATGCAGACAGGGCCTAATACATTATAGAACATTTGAAGAAGGTAATTGAGATCTCGGTCAGTAACTAAATGAAAAATTGAAATTGATTGGCTTATACCAGGTACACTTATTTTTGCAAGACTTAATTAAAGTAATATAAAATATAGGTATTTGTTTTTAAATCTGCTAATATTATATTGATAATTTGTTACTAAATTTAGTGCCTTCTACACATAGGCACTTAAACATGTATTGGTTGTTTAGCAGGGGTAGGAAAGCACGTGGTTTTATCTTGTTCTTTTCTTGCTCTTTTGCAAGAAAAATGGCTTTTTAAAAGGAAAACGTTTATATTAGAAAACTATTTTGGAAATTCATTCCTTTAGGAAGAAACAAAACTTGAAATAAATATTTTTGACTTCGGATATTTCTGTAGCTTCTGAACACAGATTTTAAACCCACCATCAAAATGAAGACAATATAGGGCTTTCCTGGTGTCGCAGTGGTTAAGAGTCCGCCTGCCGATGCAGGGGATACGGGTTCGTGCCCCGGTCTGGGAAGATCCCACATACCGCGGAGCGGCTGGGCCCGTGAGCCA